TTTACACTGGTTGTGGGAGACTTCCTGTGGCCATGACAAGTTCAGTGAGTTCTGGGTGACCTTGCCTCAGGATACAGATATTCTCACTCCAGCCTCCATTGAGCACATATGGTAAATACCAGAGCCCCAGCAGCAAGCTCTTGATTGACAGAAGGGAGACTGCACATCCCAGGCCTGTGATGGTGGGACTGGAGTCTAAAAATGAGAAGCTGCTACTGGTGGAATCTAGAAGCTGTGCACACACAAGCCACAGCCAGCTTCTAGACAGAGAAGTGACATGGTTTTCAGCTTCACTGTCAGACAGGCAGGCTCCTGTCTCATACACTTTCCTCCATGCAGGGCTGTAACCCCCAAATAAAAGTCTCTCCCAAGTCATATTTGTTTTCAGTCTTCTACTTGTGACTGATCATGTTGAGAGCGAGCCGAATTGGTAGCATCAAGAATACAAACAGACAAAATACTGAATTCCAAACTTGAAAAAGGGTACCCTGAGGTCCTTCTAGTGACTGCAGGGTGATCCCCAAATCTGCAAGTCTCAGGAGAACCCCATGGTGGTCAGCCCTCAGCTCAGTCAGTAGCTGAAAGTTTGTAGAGTGTGCAAGACAGGCACAAAGAAGAGCAGGAAGGACTGAAGCTGTGCTGTCGCAGACAGGTTGAGATTGGGAAGAGCTGTGGCTATGATCCCCTGACGCTGTCAAGTCCCCATGAGCTGCCAAAGGTTAAGAGCTCCAGCGTCTGCCACTCAAGAGCTATAACTCTGTCTGCTGAGTACCAGACTGCTGCACCGAAAACAAACAGCACTTAATATATATGCAAGCAAACATTAACACACGATACATAAACATAATTCTTTGTTTTGTTTATGTTTTTGAGACAGAGTTTTGCCTATGTAGCTCTAGCTGGCCTGGAACTCTCAGAGATCCTCCTGACTCTGCATGTTAACTGCTGGGATCAAAGGCATCTTCCACCAAGGCCCGACAAATACATCTTTTAAAAATAGTTTGTCAGGACAAACCTCTAGTTCTCATGGCCCAGAACAATATGTGTCTAAGTCTGTAGACTACAAGCACTCAAGGGCCAAGGCTGATAAGCCAAAGGGGACTTCTCCTTGCCTAGTCACCATTTCCTTCTGAGTTGACAAAAGGACCTGTTTGTGACACCATAAAGGGAAAAGCATACTGTTTTTCCTAGTGTTCATAGACCCTTAACTTGGATAGATTCCACCGACAAGAAAAAGACCACCAAGGAAACACATAAGAATGTTGAAAAACACCTCCTCCATGGGTAAGATTGCACAAGATTCAAGACTTGTCTGCTGGAGAGCCTATGAAAAGAGAGATCAGAAGGTAAGCCAAGGAAATTTTAATGGAAGAAAGAATCCAGGTTAATAGCAAACACACAAGTAGTCAGGGCAGGTGACTGGGACATGACCAAAGAACCAGGGCCAGTGAGACGGCTCAGTGGTTCAAGGTGCTTGCTACCCAGCCTGATGACTCAAATTCAATCCCCTGCACCCACATGGCAGCAGTGTGAGAAACGATGGTCCTCATCTCGTAATAAGAGTCCTGGAGGGGTTGGAGAGGTGGTTGAGTGGTTAAGAGCACTGGCTATTCTAACAGAGGAGCCAGACTCGATTCTCAGCACCCACTGCACTCAATTGTTTATGACTGCAGTCTCAGGTGATCTGATGCCCTGTCTGGCCTCCTTGAACACTGCACACAAATGGTGCACAGATATAGATACAGGCAAAACACCATACACATAAAATTAACAACAAATCTGTTTTAGAACACTGAAGTCTAAGAGCAGCAAAATGAACTATTATAATCCTGCATCAGCCCTGAGAAAATGAATCAAGTAACTGGTTCTAATGTTTCTGTTTGTATTTCCCTGCCTCTGAATTTCTCATTGACTGAGTTTTTCAGGGAGGTACAATCTTAGCATAATCCCTACCAAACTCCCCATCCTCCTGGGGCTTGAGATCCACCACTCCCTTCCCAGATGTGAAGGCTCAGTCACATAGTCGACTTCAGTTTTTCAACCCAAGATAAACTCAAAAGCATTCAGGTGAGCAGGCACCAGTGCCAGCTAGGGAAGACATGAGCCTAGTGCCTCCTACTGGCTGTGATTCCCTGATGAGTACACACACTGGAAATGGGCCAAGAGGATTACTTTCTCACAGAAGTTGACCTCTGACTTCCACATGCAAGCTGACAGACACACAGGGAGAGACACACATACAAAAAGACAGAGAGAGACAGAGGGGGCATAAAATAATACTAAAAATTCAACAAACTTTAATTTTTAAGAAGAGAATCACATGGGTCTTAGTATGAAAACCATGTTCTGCCCATAACGACTTGAGCCCTGGGTGTGGGAAAAGGCTCCACCTCCTCGATGACATGAAGAAATAATCGTATTCTGTCACTGATATTAACACTGCATTCACTTCAAGACTGTGGTCTGTGGCCCCTACTCAGGATGCAGGCTAATCTTATTTACTATCATCTGTTTGTCTATTACCCTTGTGGTCAATTTAGAGATGCCAACTATTTAGTTGTTTGAGGCCTCCACACTAAAATTTAACTTTCCCTTTTTTAAAGTTGCATATGACCCAAACACACTATAATCATGTGTGAAGTTACCAAAGATAAATAAAGATTTAAAAGAAACTGAATCCCTGACTAACCAAACCAAATGGATCTGATAGATAGAACCTAATTTAAAATTGCTGTCACCTCCATACAGTTCAGTTGTGTTGGAACTTTGCCAAATAAATGTGGCGTTAGTCCTCACTTTTAAAAGTTTCCCCTTCCAGAATCTGCCTCTCTCAGTTCCTCAACTCTTTGCCAGTGCTAACAATACCTGCCACCCAGAAGAAAAAGAAATCCCCCAGGAGAGTAACCATGTTTGTTACTTTACTGTTGTTGTGATAAAACACTATGATCAGACAACTTAGATAAGACAGAGTTTATTTTGGTCAATGGTTCCAGGAGGATGAGAGTCCATCACAACAGAAAACCGTGGCAGCAGCTGCTGGGTCCTCCGGCAGGTAGGGCTGGGAAAGGGCCAGTCCAGCCAGTCTCTTCCTGGGGCTGAGTGGGATGGAGAGTGTCGACGACCCAGACCTCCCTCCTAGTTACAGGAGAGAAACCACACTGAGTCAGGAGACTTGTCGAGGCAGGATATCTCTTTATTGCATCAGGCAGGCACTTATTAGGGTTGAGGAAGTGGATGGGAACCTCAGGATGGGATGAGGTGTCAATAATATTTCACCACTTTAGCAGTAGCTGGGCAGAGGCAATTTTGCTGAGTCACTTCTATGCAGAAATGATAAGCCAAAGACAGGTCCCCAAATTCTAGCGAGGCTCAGGAAGTTCCACTAGGCCTTGTGTCTGGGCCTTTTTAGGTTCAACAAGCTGCAGGGTGGGGAAGCTGAGAACTCATCTTCAAAGGCAAGCATGAAGCAGAGAGGGTGTCACATAGCCCCCAGTGACATACTTCCTCCTAAACCCAACAAATAGTACCACCATCTGGGAACCAAGAGTTCAAATATGAGAGCCTGTAAGGGACATTTTTATTCAAACCACAACAGTAACCATCTTGCCCAGAACTCTTATTCCAATATATTTTTAACAGACCATTATATGTTATAGTGACTATCTCAGGACATTCCTGCCATCAGAGTAGAGTAGTCTGTGGGGAGAGTATAGTCTGTTCCAAGAGTCACCAGAAATATCTGGGTATACACTCTGAGTTCATGAGGGGCCAGGAGGGAGTTTAGGCTCTCGGGAAATCTTGTGCCAAATCACTGTTAGTCTTTTCTATGTGAAGAAAGATTATTTTACCTCTCCTGTATTTCTGTGAGAGCTGGGTGGCATAACACATTTGACATTTGAGGAGGAACAAATGGCAACTGTGTGGAGGAGAGAGATGTGCAGAAGGAATCAAAGTGGTGAGATTCCCGAGGATCATGATGGTCATAGGAGGGACAGAGTCTACAGGGAGCTGATGGTGAGGACTACAAGGCCCTGGAAGCCAGCAGGATGGAGAAAGGAAAGAAGTGAGAACCCAAAGGGGGAGCAACTGAGGACTGACCACTGCCCCAACCCAGGAGACGGAGGGCAGAACTTTCTGGATATGAGGAAAGAACAGTTGACATTGAGGTCACAAGGTCTTTAGTAAACACTAGAAGGGGCTAGAACTCAAGGTACTCCTGTCCATATTCTAGAATAAGCTTGGACTTGGACTCTGAGTTCCAATTACAATCCTGATATTAATTCAAGTCCCCATGCCCCTAGGCATGACACTTCAGCTTTGTAAGGAAATCTCTGCTTCCGGCAGCCCATGATAATGTGAAGGTACATACACATTATGTGGGTGGACACAGCCATTATCTAAGGCTTCCTGGTACTTGGTAGGCATGCCTAAGAGTCTTGCCGAAATGTTAGGTGGGAAGAGAAGGAGAGGTAGCGTTCTGAGCTATAGCATGTAGGAGAGGAACCTCGGTCTGGGACAAAGGGGAAGTGCCAATACCTCAGTTACCAGAGGTTCTGAGAGTGGAACATTCTATAACCATCAACCTCTAGTAGTCTAGCATGGGTGAATTAAACTTCCTGGGGTCAATTACCAGGCTAACCACAGCTCTGTTTGAGGTCATAGGGGCAGGTGACCCCATCTCTTAAGATCACCTGATCACTGTGGCAGCCAGGATTTCAGGGGTTGTTAAACACACCCCAAGTCAGAATAATTCCAAATGTTCTCATTTTTTTCTTATCTGTGAAATGAGTGTCTTAGAATCATCCCTCTGAAGAGATAACCTTCAGAGTGTGTGACCGAGAGCATTAGCCAGCGTACAAATCAAAAGCACGATTACAAACATCTATCACTAATTCCAGGCACAGTCATGCTGAGCACTGCACCTGTCTGGATCTTTGTTTATGAAAAGGAAAAAAATACGTGACATCTAGGAGTCCTCTCAGTTCTAGAAATGTCAGATTCTAGGACCTGAGAATTATCTTCCTTAGGGCTCCTTTGATGTCACGATTCCTCAGGCTATAGATGAAGGGGTTGGCCATAGGGGTCACCACCGTGAAGATGACAGAGGCCACTGCATCCTGTGATGAGTAGGAGGAATAAGGGTGTGCATAAACTCCTATGATCGCCCCATAGAAAAGGCAGACCGCAGTGAGGTGAGAACCGCAAGTGGACATGGCTTTTCTTATCCCCTGAGCAGAGGGCATCTTCAAGACCTTAGAGTAGATGTAGCCATAGGAAACAACAATGCATATAAATGGTGTCAGAAATATCACTGCACCCTCAATAAAAGCTGTAACATCATTGATGAAGGTGTCAGAACAAGAGAGTTTCAGGACAAGGTAGGGGTCACAGAAAAAGTGGTTCACTGCATTATGGGAACAGAAGATGAGTTGAACCATGAGAAGAATGTGCAACAGAGCATGCAGGTTTGTGATGACCCAGGATATGACCACCAGGAGGACACAGAGTCTGGGCCTCATTATCAGGGTGTAGTGCAGTGGGTGACAAATGGCCACATAGCGGTCATAGGCCATTACACTCAGGAGGAAGCCATCCAAGTTGCCAAATATAAACAGGAAATACATCTGGGCCATACACTCCTTGTAAGAGATGGACTTGCTTCCCAACATGTGATTCACCAGTGCCTTGGGGACAGTGACTGAGGAAAAACAGATGTCAACACTGGAGAGGTTGGCTAAGAAGAAGTACATGGGTGTGTGCAGATGAGGGTCACAGTTGATGACCAAGACGATGAGAAAATTCCCAGAGATGGTGACTATGTACATCCCCAAGAACATTCCAAAGACAACCTCTTCATGGTCAGAGAGTCCCAGGAGGAGGAATTCTGTGACTGTCGTCTGATTGTCACCATCCATGTCTTTGGAGAAGAAAGGGGGACCTGTATAGTGAAATTATTCACCAATGCATGAAAAAAACCTTTATGCAGTTTGGAATTTTTTTTCCCATTTGTTGACAATTAACTGCTAGTCAATTTCCTTGCAATGTACTTTTATAACAAAAGAGTGGTCCATTTTGAAAGGACTGAATTCTACTGACTATGATTTTATTGATTCTGCACTTGTTTGCTTACTGTCATATATGTATACATTTTATACAATAGTTGACTCCATCTAGGACTTGGCATACTACATTTCACTGGATACATGAAGAAACTTAGAAGGGGGCAGCTAGATGCGTTATCAAAAATTGCTGATCATTACCAGTTGGAGTTCAAAACAAGCTAAGGCTCTTGTTCTCTGTGTTACACATATACACACATAGGCATGCATGCTCACACATACAAACACAACCACACATAGATGCATGAATACACACGCCATGCACAACACACACAAACATACACATAGATACCATGTAACACAAACACACTCTTAGTTACGTGTTCTTTTGTCTGACCAGGAATTTCTGTGTGTAAATGATTCTCTAGCCTCAACATTCAACTGGCTGGGACTACAAACATGTACTAGTTCCCCAGCAATTTTTATGTTATATTAGCTACCATTTATTAAATTTTAATCAAATGAAAAGTCACTACTGAGTGCCATCTATTATAAACCTAGAGGTTATGCTGTGGCTTTTCTGTTTTCTCTCAATTGGGAAGGCCAATTGGTTTTGATGGACCTGCCTGGCAGTTGGGCCTTCACTTTCTCTCTGCTACTAAGATGTTCTCACCCCAGCTCACAGCTGTTTGTCTGCTTACCTGAGCTGCAATCAAATCAGCAGGGGGGTACACAGATTCTAAGTGCATTGTTTTGTATTGGAGAAAAAACAGTTTTACAAGTGGATAAAATGCAGATTCATGTGCATCTCAAAAGACAATCCCCAGGCTAAGAAATCACCATGGCCAGGAGGTCTGGAAAACATCCAGACTGCAAAGCCCATGGAGGCATGCAAGGCGATTAAAGGTGAGAAACAGAGGAGAGTCACCCTGGGGGTGATCAAAGGCCTGGCCAGGGAAAGAGAAGAGAGAAGACAAATGGCATGTGAAATAGCCCCGGTGACAATGTTGTTTACAGGACGGACATATGATAGAGACAGCAATGTGGCTGTTACTGTGAGAGTGAAATTAAGTGCTGAGATGTGAAATCTAAGATAACTTCCAGAACGTTGCAATGGAGACAGATTAATGTAACAACAACAACAAAACACTAGAACTAGGGCTGGGAAGATGGCTCAATGGGTAAAGCACATGCCGTGTAAGTATAAAGACCTGAGTTCAAATCCCAGAACCCCCATAAAACTCTACACCATAGTGCATGTCTTCTATCCAAGTGCTCTTATAGTGACATGAGAAGCAGATCTCATGAGTCTGTGGCAATACACACCTACACACACACATACACACACTCACACACACACACTCTCACACACACATCTCTCTCTCACACACACAGAGAAACACACACTTACACACACACACACTTTCTCTCACACACACATACACACACACACACACACACACAGAGAGAGAGAGAGAGAGAGAGAGAGAGAATCACACACACACAAAGTGAAATTTATAAAGTTAGACTATTTTTCCAATGGGCCATAGGGTCAGTGGACTGTAGAAGATGAGAGACAGAATGATGAGTGGTTCATGAGGACAAACAAATGAGTCCTTTGATTGTAGATGTTAATGTTCTAGAAGGCAGATAGCTTCCCATCAAAGAAATAGAAAAGGAGGTGCCTTGGGATGTAAAGGCAACTTGCTCCAGTGAGGCGAGACCACAGCTAAGGCTGGATCCTGAGAGCGTTAAGCTGTAGTTATTCCGTATTTTCTTACGCTGTGCATTAAGAAATGGATGATAATGAAATGGTCAGTTGCTGGGAATAATAGTACCATAGGATGGTTTAAGCCCTAGGTGTACAGCTTCCATAGGACCCCAGTGCATCATGGTAGGTCATGCACAAAGAAAGGTCATACCCCTTTCTTTGATTGGCTTTTCAACTCCAGCTTTTGGATTTCAATTCCATTTCCCCTTAAGCATCCTTATGGAGACAGAATTCTGCTGCCACAATTGTAAAAAAGAAACTTTAGGGTGTGTGTGTGTGTGTGTGTGTGTGTGTGTGTGTGTGTGTGTGTGTGTGTGTATGTGTGTGTGTGTGTGTGTGTTGCTGCATTAATTTGTGTGAGTCGTTGGAGTGTCAAGGTGTGTCTGAGATCAGATGTGCAGATATGACTGCATCCCTGGGTGTTTGAGACCCTGAACCTTAAAGGCCGTTTTTTTTTTTCTAGACATCCACTGAGGTCAACACTCCACTGTCTAGTTTTAATAGCATCCAAGCAGACACAGTCTGAGACACCTTCATTATATGAACACACATTCGGAAGATGGACACAGAACAAATATGAGGACCAGGATAAAATAATGGCATTGTCAATGCTTCTCTGTCCCTTCCTGTCTCTGTCTCCCTCTGTCTTTTTTGGTCTCTCTCAATGTGTCTTTCTCTCTCTCTATCCCCCCCCCCCACGCTTCTGAACAAGCTTATCAACAGTCTGCAGTACTTCTATACCTCTAAACTCCGTTATGTTTTTGCTTCTATCCCTCTAAACTCGGTTACGTTTCTGCTTCCTGTGGCCACGTTGCAGCTTCCACTGTGTTCCTAGGGCACAGCACCTCAGGTAGGAATGGGGCATGCAGGAATGAGATGAGCCGTTGCTCCTCCTTTGAACTTGGTTAAATGCAGAGGGACTGAATGAAGTTTTTTCTCTGTCATCCCATGTGTTCAAGTCCATGGGAGTCTGCCTGCTGTGGGGGGCCTCTGCTGAGCCCTCAGTAGCCTTACCTGGGTGCTCCTGGCTGCTATCAGATGTCTTCAGGCTAGTTCTGCCTCTGCTGGTACCATGTTTGAGGCTGGGCTTTGAGACATCCACACTTGAAGCTGAGAAGGGAAGGGCCTTTTCTCCCTCACAGAGAGTATTCAGAATGAGGCTTGTGGCTCTCTCTGTCAAGCTTGGATGGTTGAGAGTAAGTAAATTGATGTTCCATCCCTAGAGGAGGTACTTCCATGAAAATGGCTGCCAAGTTTGTGTTCCCCTACGGTGGATTTCTCAGAGGTTCTAATTAGAGACACGGATGACGTGTTCACAGTCTGTATTCTTTCTGGGCAATGAAAGTCATTTCTTGTACAAGTGCTCTCTGTTAGGGCTCTATCCTTGGCTAAGTATTTATATTTTATCATGTCTGATAAGATGGTACTTACAAATATATGTTATATAACATCACAATATATAAATAATATGTATCACATAGCAATGCAATATAAAATTTTGTCAAGTAACAGTAGAAGTTAAGGTCAGCATGAATTTGACGCAAAAATCTAGCAAATAAATCACTAGAAAATCAGACCACAAACCAATTAATGTCAACATCATTGGTGTGGCCTAAAAACAAAATGAGAGCCCTCTATCAAATATTAATCAATTACCAAACCCAATTGCAACTGCTTCTAGAACAATAGTGTGAATGATACACAAAAAGTACTTGACAAAATTCTAAAAATATTAATTAGTGTAAAAATTCCCAATGAATCACAAATCAAAGTGCTCCTCAACTTGATGAAAGGCTTTTACAAAAAGGTTTCATTACAGTCAGTAAGTGCCCAATATTAATCTTTACTTGCCATCTATTTCAACTGCTCTTTCTAAAAATGACTTTGTTTATAACTGTTAGACTAAACTCATCAATTAATATAAATAAATCTTAAAGTATTTGATATGGCAGCAATAAATTCACTCAGTGTTTTGAAAAGTAATGTATTTCCTACTGATAGAGTCTTCTGAACTTTCAATACCATGGATCTCTCTAATCATTGATTCTTCTTTTTCTTCTTCCAGCTTCTAGAAAAAAATAAAAATGACTTGTAGGGCCAGCATGATTGCTCAGTAGGTAAAGACACTTGTCACCAAGTGTGAGTTTGATCCCTAGAACATACAAGGTCAAAGGAGAGAACTCACTCCTGACATTTGTCCTCTGATCTTCACAGGGCAAACATGCATGCATGCATGCACACACACACACACACACACACACACACACACACACACACACACAGAGATGTAATTCTTCAATAATCTTACAGATATTGACATAAGGATATTGCACATATTTTTATTGCTTTTCTTTCTTTTCTCTTTTGTGACAGTGTCTCATTATAAAGACCATGCTGGCATTGAAATACCATCCTTTTGTCTCAGGCTTCCAAGAGCTGGGATTAAAGATCTCACTCTATACAGAGGGGTGCAGTAAAGAAACATTACCATTACATGGTGTAGTTAAAGGGAAGCAAGGTTTCAATTGTTGATCTGAGACAGAACAGATAGGTGATCTGGAAGAGGTCAGAGCAGACAGAGAAAGAAATAGACTGCACATGCCCAGGGCTATCTGTGAGAGAAGAGATAATAACCAGAAACAAAATAGAGAAGCATAGTGAGAAAAGCCCGAGCAGAGGATAGTGAGGATATGAGGAGAGCTCGGTTATAAGAAGGACGAGTAGCACATTCCTGTCTAGCCCCTCCACCCTCTGGCAGAAAGGTAAGTGTCAGGGGCTCTTCCAATCCACTTATCCCTCTTCAAGTTACCTAACCTTCTGCCTCCAGACCCTTCCTGCCACTGAATCCTGCAGAGGGACCTGGAGGCAGAACAAAGTAGCCAGCATCATTGGTCGCCATTCCTGTCTTGCCCCTCCACCCTCTGGTAGAGGAGAGAGAGAGAGAGAGAGAGAGAGAGAGAGAGAGAGAGAGAGAGAGAGAGAGAGGAATCTGGATGTAGAACAAAACATCCAATATCGGCCACCATTCCTGTCTTGCCCCTGCACCATCCGGGAGAGGAGAGGATAGAGCCTTGAACCCATACCC